GAGAGAGAGAGAGAGAGAGAGAGAGAGAGATATTACGTCATTCACACTCAAATTGCACGTGTCACGGCAAGTGTTTGGGCACTTCGCTTAGTGCTAAAATGGCGACCTCCAGAGAGCTTTGTTTCTAGCAACGTGCTGTGATTGAATTTCTTGTAGCCGAAGGCTGATCAGCAGCAAACATAAAATGAAGAAAGCATGGTATCTATATAACAATATTATTATGGTGAGCTTTGAGTTAGTATTGACACTACTAAGTGAGGGGCAAAATCTTTGAAAGGAGAACGATCATATGCGTTCTGAAAAGCCATAGTAAAAACCCAGCAAGTTAAATGTGAAGGCCTTCGTCTGTTTACGATGCAGGCGAAACTCAGCTAACTTCTCCGCTGGTACGTGGTGTGGTGCGTCAACTAATAAGTTTAGTTTTAGTAAGAGTTTTAAGGCACAATAAAATCATATAAGTGCCGAATATTACAGGTGTTACAAGAGAGCAACAAGCACAAACAAAAATAAGGAGGAGAGATAAGGACGATAGATGTTTGACAGGAAAGAAGGAGCAAACCACACCAGAGCACCCGCCAACCACCCACGTCAACCAGTAATAATGTATAATATATAACAGCATTTGAATAGTGCATTATATCCCGCTCGACAGCAAGCTCTATGCGCTTTACTCTGCATAACTACCCCAGCAGACCGTAGATAACTCAGAATCATTTTTGGCTTCCCGGGAAGCATACAGTGCAAGCAACTGAGTAATCGCTCAAACACTAACAAACTGACAAGATCTTTCGCTGTCTATAGCTGGGTACCCATTCCTACCTTTGTGAAGTGAGTAAAATTCTTGTAAAATGTCTTTCCCAAGGACACAACGTCGAGCCCCAGGCGGGATTTGAACCCACAACTTTACGGTTGCGAGTCCGAGAATCTAACCACAAGGCCACCGACGCCACTAATTCGCAGCTTTGTGTGAATCGCCCACCCCACTACGTACCAACATACCTACCAGTTCAACCAACCAACCAACCAACCATCCCACCTCCCTTCCTCCCCTCCTATATGTATATATATATATATA